TGTGTGTGTGTGTGTGTGTGTGTGTGTGTGTGTGTGTGTGTGTGTGTAGGGCAGATGCTGCTTGGGAGACCTTGCTCATTGCTCTAACCCACCACCTAGAACAGCGTTCAGTTGCAGTATGTGCTTGGCAATTAATTAAGTCATCGGTTAAAGGGACGTGTCAGGATCAGGTGCTGGGGCACCTGAGCAGCTTAGACAGGGCCCCTGCTCACACTGAATTTAGTTTCTGGGGAAGACAGCCACACCACCTGACTGATTTGCAGGCAGCCATTTCTATTTGTCCCTATCTGAGGCAGCCCTCGTTGGACCTGGGAGGGGGTTCACTCGGGCAGAAAGCTTCAGCTCCTCTCACGCACCTGCTCCCTAATCCCTACCAGCTGGAAAAAGTGCCCTGGCCTCTGAGAGTTGAATTTACCACCCTCTTGCCTCTGCCTCTGCAATGCTGGAGTTACAGGTGTATACCACTAAACCAACTCTCCCATATTTCCTTCCTGAACTACACGTGGTCAGAAATATGCCTGCCCCAAGAGTGCTTTTCTGTAGGAATATACAGGTTCCCCTGATAAACAAACAAACAAACAAACAAACACCGATGCTTCTTCTGAAGAGGGAATTGCTTTAAAAATAACACGGTATTCTTCCTCCCTGCTGCGGGAAATGGTTCTTCATCTTTAAAATCATTTCATTTTTATTACTGTGAGCGTGTTTATGAAGCATGTGTGTGCAGGTGACACGGATCGGAGAAGGAAATGTGAATCGGAGTGATGCGTTCACAGTCTCTCTGTCTTGGTGCCCGGCCAGGTGCCCAGTGATGGGTGCTTTAAGGGAGGATAATGATGTAAGGTTGTGGAATGCCCACAATGTCTCTGTGGAGAAGAGCTGTCCTGTCAGTTACTTTAGGCCCATTGGACGGTGGGGTGGGGTGGGGGTGGAGCATCTCTTCTGTTGCTCTGTATTGTGAAAGGGTGGCTGCTAGGCTGAGCATTGCCCCACTGACCCCATTTTATTTATTTTCAATATATTTTTTCTATCTTTTGAGATATAATCACATCATTCCGCCCTCCCTTTTCCTCCTGGCAATTCCTCCCCTGTACCAGTGTCCCTTGATTTCTTTTTCATGGCCTTTTTCTGTTACATGTGTGCATAATAATTATATATGTCTACATAAACATATGTCTGTATGTGCTTACACACAACGTTTTCAGTCTATAAAATATGACTTGTACATACACGACGTCAGGGCTGGCAGCTCATCTCTGGGGAAGACTATTTCTCCTGCTCTCCACATTCTTCAGTTGTCTGCATTTCTTTATGTAGGCCTGAGGCTTCATTGACTTTTCTCCATCCGCTTTGGCTTGTCTATCATCACTGTCCTTGCTCAGCTTGTGTTTAGGCGGCCGTGATGGCGAGAGTTTACGGGTGTAGCTTCTGACATTCCTAGGAGACACAGTCTCTTAGCAAACTCCCTGATGATCTGGCTCTTACAATCTCTGCCCCTCTTCCGCAATGATCCCGGAGCCTTGGCTGTGGAAGTCATGTCGTCGACGTATCCGTCGGGACCAGACTCTACAAACTCCATGTTTTGATTGGTTGTGGTTTCTTTTGTCATGGTCTCTGCCCGCTGCAAAGAGAAGTTTCCTTGATGAGGGCTGAGAACTGCACTTACGTGTGAGCACAAAGACAAGGGACAAATATTTAGAACATAGTTAGAGATTATGCTGGCTCTGTATCCAGTTTGTGCAGGCAAACAAGCACCCTATCATGAGGCACAAGGCCCAGACTAAATAACCAATTCCTAAAAGCAAAAGCTGTCACCTGCAAAATTACCAAGGTAAATTGGGAACTCACGGACACGTGGGCAGCATAAGCTACCAGAGAAAGCAAGCCCGTGAGCTTACCAAACATACTCCCTTCGTCTGGACTAGAGAAGTAGCAGCGGAAGACGGAGCTGTGTCCGACACACTAACTTATCATCTTGTCTCTTGCCATAGCTGTGTCCAGAAAAATTGCCAGAGGAAAGGAGCTCTACCTGTGTCCCAGACTCCAGCTGGCGCCAACTCAGCCTCTTGAACAGCTTTCCCCTACCCTGCAAAAGTTGAATGTTTAAAATTTTGAAAATATTTTTTTGTAAAAAGGCGGCATCTCTGAAAAGATACCCCATAAGCGGTAAAATTCTTTTTTTTTTTTTTTTTTTACAGATGTTAACATGAATGACCACAAAGTTGGTTGTTTCAAACCACAGAACCTTGTTATTTTGAGGTTATGGAGGCCAGAGGTCTCACTCCGGGGTGAGTGGAGAAATGCTCTCCAAAGGCTGCAGGTAGAGCCTGCTCCAGTCTCTTCCGGATTGGGGCACCTTCCAGGACTCCTCGAACCCGCACCACTCCCATCTACGCCTGCATCTTTGCCAGCCTCTTCCCTGTGTTTCTCTCGCTTTTTCTTCTCCTCCTCCTCCTCCTCCTCCTCCTCCTCCTTCTGTTCATCACACCAGCCCTCTGAGGAGGGTCAAGGTTGGGCACATCTTCTGAGTGGACATTCTCAAGCCTACTGCTGATTTCAGGAGTGAGAGGAAGAGCTTCCCAGGGTCCATTTACCAGCCGTCCTCAACCTCCCTACTGCTGCAACCCTTTAATGCAGTTCCTCATGTTGTGGTGACCCCTCCCCCAACCATAGAGTTATTTTAGTTGCTACTTCATAGCTGTAATTTTGCTATGGCCATGAATCGTAATATAAATATCTGCTCTGTAGATCACCTGATATGAGATCCCCGTGAGAGGGTCATTCAATGCCCCAGGGGGTTTCAACCCACAGGTTAAGAACCACTGATCTGCTTAAACCTGACAGCCAATACATTTCGGGAGTAGGGCCACAGACTGGTGGCCAAGGGCTGGGCTAGGGGATAGATCTGGAAAGCGGAAGCAGTTGCTTGGGGCGACCTACGGTGTGTGGGTGAGTAATTAATGAGGGATGAGAACCCAGCCAAGTGGCAGGCACCCAGCTGGGTGTCCTCCCCACTCCTGTGGAGAACGCAGTGGAGGGTGTGGGATGAGATGTGACTGCTCCTCTGGTTCCATCTGTCACAGAGCTCAGGGTACCCACACACCTTACACACACACACACACGCACAGGCACATGTACACCCGCACGCACGCACGCATGCACGCACGCACAGAATGTACTGGACAGAGGCTGCGGGTTAACACTGAGACCCTCTGTGTACAGCTTCATCGTCCGCTGGGTGGGCCTGAAGGGTGAGGGGTCTGGCCTCCCAGAGAGAGCATGAAAAAGGTTGGCTCAGGGACTTCCTTCAGGAAGCCTTGGTGAGGACACTGGCCAAAGTCCAGTTCATCAAGCAAGAAGGCGAGTCTTCAGCTGTCACTCAGCAAATGCGAATGAGCTTTTTTTTTTTTTTTTTTTTTTTCTGCCGAGATGGTGGGCTGTTTGGTGGGGGATAAAGAAAAAAATAACAAAGGAGTGACACCAACCTGGCCTCCTGGGAGTTCCTTTAGGCCACTCCAATGTCCAGTGGGCTCTGGTATGAGGTAAAGGGAAATGTGGAAATGACAGCTGCCTCGGATTCCAGGACCTGGATTAGACTGCTGAGCAGTGGCAGACTGGGGTCCTCAGTTGCTGAGGAGAGGAGGGTGGACTTGCGCCCTCCCTCTGCAGCGCCTGCTATGAGGCCAGCCGGTGGGCCCCCCCTTTGCATCTGCTGCCCAGCACACGGTGGGTGCTCTGCGGGCTGGCTCCATTGAGTTCTCGGCTGCAGTGTGTAAAAAACAAAAAGCAAACCAAACTCCAAAGCAGGCTGAAACTTCGGAGCCCCACCTCCCCCAGCTTGTGCTTACAGTGGAGTGTGAGTCTCTGGCACCTTTGAAGACTCAAATGTGGAGTCTCTGTAGAATCGTCGCGGGAGGTGAGTGTAGCTGGAACCCAAAGAAAGCAGTCTTCTGCTGGCCCCGGTGCCGTGGGCGCAGAGGGCTGGAGGCCAGGGAGGGGATCCAGGCTGAATGGAGTGCAAAGTTTAGGCAGGTGGAGGAGTCATGGGTCACAGAGAGGAGGAGGGCCCAGGGGAAGTTAGCTAATATTGTTGGAAGGAGAAGTAAGGGGGTGTCGAGAAGACCCCGGAAAAACGAAAGAGGTGGGCTCAGCATGGCTCTGACTTGGCACCTCGGCTGAAGGTGAGAAGTGGGGGAATGTGGCGGGCCTGGCTTGCAGCCCAATCAGGATTTGGGGTTTCGCCCTCTCTCTCCCTGAGCGTCATTTGACGCTTTCTGTGGAGGGCGAGGCCGAAATCCGATCCTTTAATCCCCGGGCCCCCGTTAATGTTTAATCAAAGAGGATCTTCCGATGGGGCTCAGGGTGGCGTGATCTCCCGGCCCCCGGGCGTCCAGCGCCCACACCCACGTGGACGCGCAGGCTGCCTGTAGCGCTTCTCGGCTTCTCTCGCAGAGACCCGCAGGGCTGAGCCAGCGCTGGGAGCCCCAGGGACGTCACAGCCCGCAGCCCTGGTGCCCGGTGCCCTCGAGTCCTCGCGCGTCCGCATCCTTCCCGCGGACCTCTCCTCTCCCCGATGGCTACCCGCTGCTCTGCCTGGCCGTGGTGGCGGCTGCTGCTGTTGCTGCTACTGTGGGGGCCCATGGACGCCGGGGGCCAGGAGGAGGACTACGAAGAGCTGATGCTGGCCCTCCCGTCCCAGGAGGACGGCCTGGCTGACGACGCCCCGCATGTGGCCACCGCCACCTTCCGACGTTGCTCCAAGGTGCGGGTGCGGGATGCCCCGGGGTGCGGGAGGCAAGACCCAGCGCGCAGCTGGGAGGGATGGGCTGGGTTAGAGGAGGCCACGTGCCACTGTGGGGGTCTTGGTTCCTCAGATGTGAGGCGGGAGCGGGCTACTGCTCATGCAGAGAGGGTGTCCTCCCGAGTGAGGGGGCTGGGGACCGTGGCGGAGGTAAAGAACCCGAGCGGCACATCTTCCTCAACTGGGTGGCAGCAGTCATGCTGTGTGCCTGTTGGGGCTCTGTGGGCCTTGAACCAGGGGAAGGGTGTCAAGGCTGCGTGACTGGAGGCACTGGGTGGGTGAGTGGGTGGGTGGGTGGGGTCAGCTTCCTGGACATATCAGTCCTGGCTCTGGGCCACAGGAAGCTCCTACCTGAGGCGGAGCAGCTGCCTCCAAGTTTATCTTCCCAGGGTTCCTTGAGGTTCTTTGCCCGGCTTGGATTTGGAAGTGAACTTGGGGTTGGAGGCTGGGGTGGCCAGTTACTGAATCTTGAGCTTTTGTTCAAAGGGAAGTGACGGTCTTTAGATGACTTTGTGGGTGATCTCTGGGTGGAACCGGAGAAGAGATCCCTTGTGGGATGATAGCCCACTGTGGTGAGACCACCAGGCCACCGCTACAGGGGCAGAAGAGAGAATGGGCTTCCGGGAACTGCCTCGTCCCAGCCAGGGGTGGGCCGATTTGAGGGTCTCAGCTCGAAACACCCCTTTCAGTGTTCCCCGAGCTCTGTGCCTAGAGGGATGTGGAGTCCCGGCCAGGTTAATAAAGGGCATGTTGGAGCCAGGCACACCTTTAATCTTGGCTCTCAGGAGGCTGAGGCAGAACGATTGTGAGTTCAAGGTCAGCCTCGGCTACACAGCAAGACCCTGCTACAAACAAATAAGGCAGTTCTGATCCTCACTGCTCCCAGAGCGACTGCCACAGGAAATACTGAGTACCCCATTTTGAGAGGTGAGGGAGCAGAAGTGTCCGGAACATCCTAAAGGTTACAATTCATTCATGCAGTGAATGTTTGGTGGGAATAAACTTTAGAATGAATATAAATCCGGCAAGGAACCTTAGTCTGGTCTTTTTATTTTGGCCATGAGAAAACTGAGACCCAGGGAGAAGAGGTGTACCCTTGGCTTCCAGGAAAACTCTCATTCCATCGAAGAGTACCCTCCCAATTCTGTATCGGCAGAGGGCCTTCTAGACTGGGGGTTGAAGCATAGCTCAGCAAGCGAAGGTGGCATGAGAATCTTCTTCTAGAGAGGAAGTGGAGCTCATGAACGAAGGTACAGAGCTGGGGGAGGCAGAAGCATAAGGCCCTACCTTCTGAAACGTGAGCTGCTCTGAACGCCAAAGGCCTTTTGTGGTTTTCTTGATGGTACAGTTGGACCTGAGCTGACTCAGGGTTGTTGATAATCTTCCACTCGTCCCACGGTTGTGATTGTGGCGGTCAGCCATTTGCTGCATTGACCCTTAAGCTGAGCCTCACTGCCTTTCTGAAATCCAAGTGAAGCTTGAATCCCCAAATCTAGTTGACCCGGAGGGCTTGAACAAAGGGTCACAGACTGGGCTTCTCAGGCGAGAGTCAAAGGTGCATGCGATTTAGGAGGTGAGAGTATAGGAGGTGAGGGCCCAGAGGGGGATAGAGCCAAAACCAAGAAGCATGGAGACTGGACCTCTGCCACTGGGCGTCGGGATCTGTTGAAGGTGTTTGAGCAGGCGCCTCTGTTCCCACAGCACCTACCCCTGACTCCTCTCTCCCTTCGTGGAGGTGTTTTCACTGTGTGCTGGCTCCTTCCACAGACCCGTCTCTCGTGCCTCCATTTGCCAAGCACCCAGCCAGGTGTGGTCTCATTTGAGCACCCTTTCAGGTGCATCCTGGGTGTGTGATGGCCGTGTAACACAAGAGACGTCTGGGGCTTGAAGAAGATGAATGACTTGCTCAAGGCCAAAAGGCCGGTAAATACTGGAGGTTGGATTAAAGTCTGAAGCCTTCGGGTGTTCTCCTCTGGGCTGCTCCTGGAGGGGAGCCAGAAGGGCCAGGACAGGAAGGACGTGAATTACCTTTGATGGATCACTGGACATGAAGGTGTGACTGCGGAGGCCTCTGGCACAAGTGGCCTTTGGGGCACAGTCAGCTGCATGACCAGGCCTTGGTAGATTCCCTAGAGAACTAGGTGTGATGTGAAGGCTGCCAAGGGCAGCCTTCCTTCCCTCTGACTGGCAAGTTTGAAGAGGTGTACACCCCAGTAACACAAATAGTTGTGTAGCTGGGAGGTTTGTGTTTTAGTCACCATTTGATCCCGTTACAGTTGGGGCTACTCTATTTCCTCGGCTTCACTCCTAACCTGTAGGCAGGACTGGGGTGGGTCGTGGTTTTAATTGGCTTTTCCACCTCTCCTGTCGTGTGAACTGTTCCCATGGAGTATTATTTAGTCCTCTGCCTGCCCCAGGAAGGCTCTTGAAAGATGCTTCTTCTCCCCTTTGGCAGGGCAGGGTAGGCACTCAAGGCGGCTATAGGAACCCCTTTTCAGGCATAGGAATCTTTTTAGGCCCTAATACAGCAGCCATTTGATTCAGTCTGCCCAATCATCGTGATACATTTGTCTCTCAAACTCTATCTCTTGTCCTCAACCCGTAAGGATTGGCATTTTGTGCTGTTTGATGAACAGTCTCTTTACGCCACCAAGTCCTGCGTTGAAGGGACTTAGCAGGTTTTAAGCAAGTCCTGGCTACGGTGCCCCTCTCACGGGGTATCAGCTGGTGTGCTTCAGCCCTCCAGTTCAGCCATTCCAAAGCAGATGGACACACAGCTTCAGAAGAGGGCCCGGCGTGTTTAAAACGTCCACGTGTCTCCCAGGGAAGGGAGTAGGCTTCCAGTCTGCACAGCTTCCCCACTGAGGGAAAGCATCATCAAGCCTTCACGGGGGAGGGGGGGAGGTTGGGGGACCACAGAAAGCAAGGTTAAGTGTGCCTCAGGGTCCTTCTTTTTGAGCTAACTGGGTCTCCCAGGATAACTCAAAAGCACCCACTTGAAGGGATGCCAAGGAAGGGCTAGCAGAGGATGGTCTGCTCTGACTCATCAGAAGCAGGAGGCAGGGGTTGAGGGGGAGCTGAAGGCTTTAGGCAAGGCTCGTCTGCGTAGCCTCCCTTTCTGTCTGAAGGGGCTGTCTGGTGGCGTCTCCTCATACCGGCAAGGCGGAGGTAACTTACAAAGGCTGAATTTCTAAGGTGATCAGCTTAAAAGGGGGCCGGACATTTAATGGGCTCGCCTCTCCCTGCCCACGAGCTTATTTAAAATAACACAAAGCATCTTTCTATTGCTTTGTGTGCATCAAGCCCTGTGGTAGCCGTCAGTAACAGTTTGTCTCCAGACATTCTGACAGGCTATGAAAATCTTTTTTTTCTTCCCCCACGCCCCCATCATGCTTTTAGCATTGTGAACAGTAAGCACACGTGCTCTTCTGCTTTTGGCTTACCTCCATGATTACCCTGGTGTCCTGGAGCGGGCTTTTTGTGTGTTTAGCAGAACCACATACTTCTCATCAGATTCCCTATGTTTGGGGCAGGTCTGTGTTTGGGTGCCACATGATTCGGCAGAGCCAGGAGCCTCAAGGCTACACCACATAAGAGCTTTTTCTTGCGGAGTGTTTGTTTGGACATAGTTCAGAGTTCAAAGCAGGGACAGAGAAACAATGAAAAATATGCAAATTATTTAGGCTCACTCTCACCAGATGTACTCAGGAGACAGAAGGAGCTCTAAGCTACATTTGCTAAGGAGGAGAGGAAAGATCTTTCCTGAGGCATCCCTTGGGCAGGCAGAGGCATCCCTCCCAGGGTACCAAACGAAGTTTTATAGGAACAGAGTTTACACAAGAAGATAACGTGGGGCAGTCTGCATGGTACAGTGTGATGAGGTCACTCTGGTTCCTCTCGGGCTCTCATACTCTCTGTTTCTCTTCCTCCCTGGGGGCCAGGAGGCCTGGAGGCTGCCAGGCACTTACATAGTGGTGCTGATGGAGGAGACCCAGCGGCTCCAGGTTGAACAAGCTGCCCACCGCCTACAGACCCGGGCGGCCCGCCGGGGCTATGTCATCAAGGTTCTGCACATCTTCTATGACCTCTTCCCCGGCTTCTTGGTGAAGATGAGCAGTGACCTGTTGGGCCTGGTGAGCTACCCTCTTGGGCGTGGGACTTTCCGGGAGGCATGGGCTTCTATATCTGTGTCTAGGCTGACCTTCGGGTGAGAGTCAGGGCCAGCAAGTGCCTATGGTCTCTTCCTGGGTCCCTCCTGGTGGCTCCTGGTTCCCTTGTAACCTTGGCTGCATCTCAGTGCCAAGGGACCACAGATGGGTGGACAGAAGGGACCACAAGATGGCTAGCTGCAAAGCTCAGCCCGCACCCCATGGCCTGCCTGCCAGAATCCTTGTCTGGCTTGTCCACTGCCTGTGGGAACCTATGGGGACAAGGTGCCTGCGACAGTGGCTCCTATAGAGTAGCAAAGGTGTCCGATTCTTCTTCCGGGGCAGGGTAGTCCTTCTCCATCCCGCCTCTGAGTGCTTCACGGTTCTTTGATGAAGGAGGTGGAAGGAGTGCAGGCAATTGCCTGCCCTCTGCTCTTCTCCACATCATGGCACCCCAGGTTCCCATGCCAGTTCCCTTCCCCACTGGGTGCTCTCAGCCCCCTGTACACATGTAGGTCTCAGGACTCAGGGCCCTGCCCCAGCCTCCAGTGTGCATGGTACATGCATCTGATCTCCTGCTGTCCCTAGGGTTTAAACTGACAGAACGTCTGTGACTAAATGACTGACGGGCACGGGTGGGACAGTGTATCTGTCCCTCTGCATCTTCTGTGACTGCAGACGGAGGTGACAGAGCCTTGAGCCTCTCCATCAAGCCCACAGCAAAGGTGGAGGCGATCAGCTGATGCCGGAGCAGTTAGCCAGGGCTGTGTGCTCAGCACACTGGGGAATGAGTAAGACACCTGAAGCGTCAGGTGGCTGGCCGGAGCCTGCTGATCAGGGCAATGAGCTCTGTACAGGAAGCCATAGATTTTTTTTTTTGTTCCGGGAAGCTGAGCCTTGGTACCCCAAAAGGTGCCACGGTCCCAGATCAGTATTTCACTAGTTGGTTTAATTTAGAGCGAATGCCTCTGTTTCCCAGGACTATCCGTAAGCCAGATGTGGTGACGGGGGCCATCATTTAGTGGAGACTGGTGGAGAATTTGGAATACTTTTTGTATAGGGGTGGGCTGAGACAGTGCCTTCGTCTGTAGCCCCAGATGGCCTCGAACTGTGACTCTCCCACCTCTGCCTCTGGAATGCTTGCACCACAGACAGGTGCCCACGTCGCCAGCTGCACATTGAGTGTTTAAACACATACTAACTAAAGAAACTGACAGAGGGCAGGTTAAGGAGCCCTGGGGAGACTGAGGCACCCAGCGATGCCTTGGGCCTCCAGGAGGGGTGGGGTATGAAGAGAGGAAGCAGAAGCATGGAGGAATGACATGCTACCTGAGCCTGCAGCTGCTGTGAGCCTAATTAAGGAGCAGGGTGCCGGCCCCTTCCTCACACTGACTTGGATGCCTCCCGCTAGCTGAACACGCTGGAGGCCCACAGCACCTGGGAGTCTGGTGCTGTGATCTGCGGGGTCAGTGCAAAGGACGGGGAATGAGGGCAGACCCCCCACAACGGCCGGCGGCGGCAGTGTCCTGATGTGAGAGTGAAGTTTAGGCGCTAGGATTCCTGACCACCTCAGGCATGGGTGGGCAGGCATGTAGCCTGACTCTAGGGAGATGTGGAGCCCGGAATCCTTCTGACCAATCAGACGGGCTCAGCCACTGGAGTTACAAAGCACCACGTTCCTTAGCCAGAGAGGAGTGGACACTGGCCCCTGGTCTGTCTTCTGGGCCCCAGGAGAGAGACTTTGGGGCGATGTGGGTAGGCGGTGGTGGTTGGCGATGTGGACGGGGTGGCTGTGGGCTGCTGTTAGCTGAGGGGCTTTGGAAGCTAAGTGCCATGGCTCTTCTCCGGCTTCTGCAGGCCCTGCAGTTGCCTCATGTGGAGTACATCGAGGAAGACTCGCTTGTCTTCGCCCAGAGCGTCCCATGGAACCTGGAGCGGATTATCCCAGCTTGGCACCAGGCGGGGGAAGACAGCTCCCCAAGTAAGGTCCCTGGGAGGCCTCCAGCCCCCACCTGCTTTCTCTGACCCCCACCCCGCTCCCCAGAGCTCTAGAGTCTGCACTGATCTCTTCTGTCCTCTGCATTGCTCCGTGCAGAAACGCAAGAGGCTTCCCCCCCCCTCCAGCTTCTCGTCCTTGTTGGCTGCACACACCCGTCTTAGTCAGTGTTCTATGGCTGTGAGGAGGCACCATGGCCACGGCAACTCTTAAAAAAGGAAAACATTTCATTGGGGCTGGCTTACAGTTTCAGAAATTTAGTCCCATTATGGCGGCACGCAGGCAGACATGGTGCTGGAGAAGGAGTTGAAAGTTCAACATCTTGATCTGCAGGCGGCGGGAGACTGCCACGCTAAGCCTAACTCGAGCCTATGAGACCTTAAAGCCTGCCTCCACGGTGACTCACACTTCCTCCAACAAGGCCACACCTGTTCTTGCTGTAAAATAAAGCTTCAGTAGCGTGCAGCTTTCCAGGAGCTTGGGGAGATCCCACGAGCTGGCTGATAGGTGGGGCAGCAGACAGCTCAGGCTGTGAGCAATAACGTAAATCCCCACGACTGTTTTCTCCCCTCCCTCAAATGCTGCGATGGGAAGACGGAAGTGGCCAGGTGGAGGTGTACCTCTTAGATACCAGCGTCCAGAGTGGCCATCGGGAAATTGAGGGCAGGGTCACCATCACTGACTTCAACAGTGTGCCCAAGGAGGATGGGACACGCTTCCACCGACAGGTGGGTGTGACATGTGACCCTCACTACGTCTCAGAGGTGGGGTAGGGCAGACAGAGGTGCCACCTCGGAGCATCGTGTTGGCACCATCTAACTTTCCCTGTCATCTGTGGGGTGGGATATGAGTCCGTCCAGGCATGTTCTGATATATCATGGGGTGGCTGGACTCTCTGACACGATCCCTGTGTTTACTGACCAGGCGAGCAAGTGTGACAGCCATGGCACCCACCTGGCAGGCGTGGTCAGCGGCCGGGATGCTGGTGTGGCCAAGGGCACCAGCCTGCACAGTCTGCGAGTGCTCAACTGTCAAGGGAAGGGCACAGTCAGGGGCACCCTCATAGGTGAGTGGCCTCCGGGTTCTGACCCGGTTCTGACTTGGGTGTGAATGCAGCGAGAGCTGAGCAGGAACCAAGGTTTCATAGTCAGGTGACAGACCTGCCAGGGTCCCAGGGATCAAGAATGCAGGTGGGAAACTGAGGCTTGGGAGGGGGCCAGGCTCAGTCCAGGTGGGTCTCTGGGTGAGGACAGACTCTTCCACAGCTTTCCACCTTGTTGGTGCCTTTTTTTTTTTTTTTTTCAAGATTTACTTATTTTGTGTATGTGAGTGCTCTATTTGCATATTCACCTATTTGGTAGGAGAGGGCAAAAAGATCACATTACAGATGGTTGTGAGCCACCATGTGGATGCCGGGAATTGAACTCAGGACCTCTGGAAGAACGGACGGCGTTCTCAAAACGATGAGCCATCTCTCTAGCCCTTGTGGGTGCCCTGACAGCATTGTCATTTGTCGCGCCGCATTAGATTTGTGAAGCCTTGAGGTGGTGGGAGGCAGCTTTGGCCCTCTGCATGCTTATGCAGGGTGCCTTCCCAGTGGGGGAGCTGCAACAGAGCTTTCCAGGCTTTCGCAGGTTGCTCCATCGGTCCCCTCCAGTGGGGACCCAGAGGGCTAGAACTTCGCTGTGTAGGCAGGGGAGGGGGGTGAGGGAGGAGCAGTAGCTCACTGCCTCTCACTGTGCTGGGGCGCAGAGTACAAGGTTTGGCACACAACCCTGAGGCTGGCATTCAGTGGTGGCTACATAGCCAGTAAACCCAGCCAGGGAGGGTAACTTGGCCAGCGACCATAGCCGGAGCCCGCCAGCCTCTGTAGAAGGAGCTGATAATGGCTTGACTACTACCAACCAGTAATATGCTGGCCCTTAGCAGGCCAGGGAGCACACGGGAACCAGCTCGGCCTATGAGCCCAGCTTGGGACTTCAAGTGTTTGTTTGTGGATCTCTTTTTAAATTTATTTGATTTTTACGAGCATGAATTTTTTTGCCTGAATGTATGCATGCACACCAGGTACCGGGAACTGAACCCCGGTCCTTGTCAAGAATGTCGTGTGCTCTTGACCACTAAGCCATCTTTCCAGGTCCGTGCTTGGGACCTTAGGGCACAGTTATTGACACACACTTAAATCAATAACCTCTGTCCCATCAGTGACCTCTCTTGTGCCTGTCCCACCCCCTTATTGACTGACCTCAGTCCAGCTTGCCACCCCTGAAGGCCACAGGGTAGAGAGAGACTGCTCATTTCCCAGAAGTTCTTACCCAGGAGAGGCTATGGCCTCTGGAGGCCTTCTTGTGGGAGAACTCTCCCTCTTCCAGGTCCCCAGCAGTGTGGGGAAAGCTCCTGGCACATTACACAGGCTCAGCATGAGGAAGCTGCTGACACAGGCTCCTGCGTAGGAAGCTAAGGAGGCGTGGGAGTCAGGTCTAAGCACGGGTCTACACAAGCTAGGACCTGATAGCCAGTTGTAATCCCAAATGCCACCCGTATTCCTGCATCCACTTCGCTGCCCCTTACGTCCTCCTGGTGTGAGGGGCCTCAGCAAACAACCCTTATGAATATGATCTTGGACTTCAGTTTCCACCTCAGCCCCGGCCCCCCCCCCCCCCCCGCCCGGGACAACCAGATCCAGAAGGTTCTGAGAGGTTGGCTTGGCCATACCGTGTGTGTGACAGAATAGGAGCCTGAACAGGAACGAAGCTGTTAGACCAGGGCAGCTGTAAGTGAAGACTCAGGCCTCCAGGTTCCAGGCTGGCAAGGGTTAGAGCTATCTCTAGGGCAGGCCTATGACAAAAGCTGCTTTTCACACTCATTCAGAGTGGGGACGGAGTGTTGCTGCTGAGGGAACTCATCTTTGTGGTGGAGCGTTATGGGGGTGCTGAGGAGTTCGTTAACTCCAACTCCTAAGACTATCTAAACAGCGTGTGTTCCCGTTTTACGGAGGCTGAGTAGGTGCCAGGGTGGTCTCTGGTTATTTGGGGTACAAAACTCCAAGTGAGGATGTGGGGGCTTATGAAGCCTGACGGGTCCCAAGGAGGCTCATTTCTAGAGGTCTAGGAAGTCTTTTGGAAAGGCATAAAGTGAAGTTTGGTGAGGCTCCTATAAGTTTGCATATTCAAGTTCTCAGAGAAGCTGGAGAAGTGAAAAGTGGTGGAAACGCTCTCCTTTTTAAAGCTAGTGTTTTCAAAAGATCCATTATGCGTTTGACAATACATGTGCATCTTTTGGTCATTTTACCTCCTATTATCTTCTCTTCACTTTCTCCCTCTCTGCCAAACCCCTTCTTTCCGGTAAGTCTCCCTTCTATTTTCATGTATTTTGTTTTGTGACACAAGGAGTTTCATTACAGCTTCTGGCAAGAGCATTACTTAGTGGTATGAGCACTAAGTATGAGCACCTTAACAGCACACTGCTGAAGAGAATGACACCCTTTGCCCCAGCAGCTATTAGGGTGGGGCTCCATGAGCACCTCTGTCATCCATGATATCCCATCTGCTGAGCTAACCATGGTTACTAGGCCTTGTCATGTTCAGAAGGTAACGTTTCACGGCACGCTTTCCCATCTCCTGGTCCTTATATTCTTTCTCACCCCTTCTTCCGTGATGTTCCTTAAGCCTGGTAGGAGAGAGCTTGATAAAGATGCCCCATTATGGCTGAGCACTCACAGTCACTTATTCTCAGAACTTTGACCAGTTACGAGTCTCAGCATTAATTGCTGTCCACTTCAAAAAGCAGCTTCTCTGACCGAGGTTGAGAGTAGCACAAGTCTGTGGCTATCAGCATAAATATTTAGAAGGCAAGTTGAGAATATGGCTATTTAGCGAAAACAACAGTAGTGGGCTTCCCCTTAGGGCCTATGATCTTCCCAGCTGTGGGGTTTTGATCAGATTGACAGAACTAGGCATAAATCCCGTCCTGTGGAGTGAGCCACAAATCCAATCAGAAAGTGGTTGTTTGCCTTCATAACAGCCATACCACTGTTGTACCAGTGAGCATGTGTTTTGGGGCAGATTTAAATTGAACTCAAAAGCTTCCAGCTGGGTAAGACTATTTTGAATTTTATCTCCCACCAGCCTGCATAGCATCTTTTGGCTTTGAGAGCTAGGCAGCAGGGAGGAAACTTCCAACTCAGTTCTAGCTTGATTTCTCTATGTTCTGTGCGTTAGTCAGGGTTCTCTAGAATAACCAAACTTATAGAATGACTCTCTCTCTACATATAGATGTAATATATTCTGTAATATATATATATTTGTGTGAGTGTGGTTGTGATTTATTAGAATGATTTACAGGGCCAGCCACTCCAACAATGGCTGGCTACCAATGGCAAGTCCAAGAATCCAGCAGTTGGTCAGCCCATGAGGCTGGATGTCTCAGCTGGTCTTCGGTACATCCCAAAGAAGTAGGCTCTAATGCCAATGAAGAATAGACTTTCTAGCAAGGGGAGAGCAAGCAGGAAGAGAGCAAAAGCTTCCTTCTTCCATGTCCTTATATAGGCTTCCAGCAGAAGACATGGCCCAGATTAGAGGTGTTTTTTTTTTTTTTTTCTCAAAACAAAAGATCTAGATTAAAGGTGTGTCTTTCTACCTCATAGATCTGGATTACAAATAGATCTTCCAACTTCAAATTAAGCAAAAAATCCCTCACAGCTGTGCCCTCCATTTTTCAGTTTTAGTTAATTCCAGATGTATTCGAATTAACAACTAAGAATGGCCTTGCAATTCCATCTTGCAATCAAAGGGTGTGGTGTTTTCAGCAATGTTGGCTTACCATCTAGTTCTTGGGAAACACTCAGCTCCTTCAGTTTTGAGTCTAAACTTAAACCCAGGGGTAGAATTCTTCCTTCACGGACCCAGTCTTTTCTCTCCAGGCAATGAATAGATCGGGTGAGGATCACCAATGTTGTGGAAGTTATCTAGTTAAAGGAAGTGAGTAAATGATTTAAATGTCGGTTACATATAAAAATACTTTCAAGGCAGCATTCAGATAGGTTTGGTTATGCATCAGGGCGCCAAACCACCACAAAATTTATTGATTCTCTAGCAGGTGACCTGGGATTGTTTTTTTCCCCCCTCAGGCCTGGAGTTTATTCGGAAAAGCCAGCTAATCCAGCCTTCAGGGCCGCTAGTGGTGCTACTGCCCTTGGCGGGTGGGTACAGCCGGGTCCTTAATGCTGCCTGCCAGCATCTGGCCAGGACTGGGGTGGTGCTGGTTGCTGCAGCTGGAAACTACCGGGATGATGCCTGCCTTTACTCTCCAGCTTCTGCTCCAGAGGTAGGTGGTTCTGTTCTGTTGCTCCAGAAGGCAGGGAAGGTGGCAGACGGCCTTGTCACTGACTGAGCTGCCTGGATTGAAAGTGGCTAGAGACCCCAAAATGGGACTCTGAGGACTCACACCTTCCCCAGCTCAGTGTCTGTGTGAAGCTGTGACCCACACAGCCATGCCTATGGCCTAGCCCTTTCTCCCTCCTTCCTCTCAGGACTTGGGGTCTTATTCAGACCCTCTCCTGTCCCCTGGAAAGTAGAATAGCAGCCCCAGCTTTCTCCACACCTCCTCTGCTTCCCTAGATCACCCACAAGACCCTGAGGCGTTTATACATCAGACCTACTGTCCTGTCCAGTTCCTTATCCTCCCTCTCCACTGTCCAGCTCCCCACCTATAACTGAGCCTAGTGAGACTGGAGGTGACTGCTGGCCCCAAAGCCCTCAAGTGATGATGCTCAGATGATCCACCATATTTGGGGTCGTGGCAGGTGCATCCTGGGAGGGGCCTCCTTGGAGGAACTGATGGTCCAGTGGGCCCATTTACATCTTACCATGATGTTTGATTTAACATTGCCAAGGCCCAGCATGGCTCCTCCATCTCTGCTCTAGGCTTCCATACAGTACTATGCCTGCCTGATAGCAGCACTATTCCTACTCAGTCTCTACCCTAGAACTTGGGCTCCCAGGGAGTCAGGAGATGGGTCTGGCACATGGTAGGGAACCTCCTGCATTTCTCACAGGAGATGGTGTTTAGGAGGTACACAAGCGGGAATTAAAGTTGGCTAGTCCACGGGCCTGACTCATGGTGGCCCTGATCTTTCCCTGCCTTGCCAGGTCATCACCGTTGGGGCCACTGATGCCCAGGACCAGCCAGTCACCCTGGGGACCTTGGGGACCAACTTTGGACGCTGTGTGGACCTCTTTGCCCCTGGGAAGGACATTATCGGCGCATCCAGTGACTGTAGCACATGCTTCATGTCCCAGAGTGGGACATCACAGGCTGCCGCTCATGTGGCTGGTGAGTACCCCCTCCCCATCCTGCCACCATGGCCCTTTGGCAGACAGCAGGGTCTGTGCCCTGAGGGCAAATGTGAGGGCGACCTGATGGTGCCTGCGGCCTGCCACTTTGCCAGCCTGGTATGAGGTCTGAAGTAAAGCACTTAAAGGAAAGTGTTTATTTTGACTCGTGGTTTCAGATGGTTCGGCCCACAGTCTCTTGGTACCGTTCTCTTAGGGCATGCTGTGGTGGGGAGCGCGTGGCAGAGCAAAACCACTCCCCTCACGTGGCTGGGAAGCCAAGAGGAGTGGCACATCCCCGATGACTTATTTGCATTAGGACACACCTCCAAAAACTTCTGTCTCTTCCCACAGGCTGGTGACTAAGCCTTCAACTTATAGGCTTTTTTTTTGGGGGGGGGGGGGACATTATTACAATGTCCTGAAGAACACTGGGTGTGCAAACAGATGGAACAGAAAGCAGTCAGGGCTCTTTTAGAGGGAGCACCATGGAGGCGCCTGTACAGCCTGAGGGGCTCCTGGAGAAGGGCAGTTTGATGTGGGGTTTGGTGGATGGCTCACCTGAAGTTGCCAATGCCCGTGGGCAGGATGGGGTGTCTTCGTACCTGATCTTCACCCACCAAGGGTGCAGCTGTTTACACTTCCTGATGAGCAGGTTTTACGTGTGTGTGTGTGTGTGTGTGTGTGTGTGTGTGTGTGTGTGTATGTGCGTGTGTGCATGCATGCGTATCTGTTCCTGCATGTCCACCCTGGCAAGAGCCCTGTGGTTGGGAAGGAGGGCCAGGCCACCTTCTATAATTCTGCACCCCTAGGCATTGTGGCCACAATGTTGACTCGGGAGCCGGCGCTCACCCTGGCTGAGCTGCGGCAGAGGCTGATCCACTTCTCTGCCAAAGACAGCATCAACATGGCCTGGTTCCCCAAGGACCAGCAGGTGCTGACCCCCAACCTGGTGGCCACACTGCCACCCAGCACCCATGGGACAGGTGAGCAGGATGGCAGGGAGCGTACACAGTCCCTTCCCTGGTCCTCACAAGAGGGTGGTCTTTTCTTGGCTGTAGTTTGCGCGTGGAAGCTCTGAAAGGACTTGATGACATTTTCATGGGGAAACAGCAATCTTGAAGGCCCTTCTTTCCTAACATCCCTGAGACCCTGCTCGTCTGGGCCTTGTTGCAGGTGGGCAGCTGCTCTGCAGGACAGTGTGGTCAGCACACTCGGGGCCCACTCGCACAGCTACTGCTACAGCCCGCTGTGCCTCGGAAGAGGAGCTGCTGAGCTGCTCTAGCTTCTCCCGGAGCGGGAGGCGACGTGGTGACCAGATTGAGGTGCTCTGGCTCTGTTTGTGTGTCTGTCTGTTCCCCACTAGAGTCTTCCTCTAGTCCCCATTTTCAGGCTTAAAGGCATAGTCAGAGAGTTTCACATCCAGGATGGGTAGTGCCTATTGCACATGTGGTCAGGGCCTCGGGGCGGAACATCTTAAGAGCTGCTTCACTGTGCTGGTCTATGGCTCTGGAGTTGGGGGGAAGGGCATTCAGATGCTATGTGACACTGAGTTTGGCTGGAGGGCAGTACATGACCAGGAGGGCCAATTCCTAGGGACAGCACCTGTGAGACTTCCCAGGCTGGGCCTGGAGCTGGTATGTTAGCCACCCAGTGTCTGCACTGGAAGTTTTATGATGGAGCTGCCTGGAGACAAATATGTCTTGGGCCTGGCTGAGTGCCTCATGTCTAGAGTAGCGGGGATAAGGATGAGGCTGAGGGCTCCCGGGGTCTCAACTATGTGTCTGGGTACCTCCGTCCCTGCCCTGTATTCCTTCTCACTGGTTCCTGTTTTTCTGTGACTCAGGCCACGGGGAGCCAGCAGGTCTGCAAGGCCTTCAATGCATTTGGGGGTGAGGGTGTCTACGCTGTCGCTAGGTGCTGCCTGCTTCCCCGTGCCAACTGCAGCATCCACGCCACCCCTGCAGCCAGAGCTGGCTTGGAGACCCGTGTCCACTGCCGCCAGAAGGACCATGTCCTCACAGGTAGGAGTCCAATCCAAGCTGTGAAAAAGAGGCTCTGTTTTTAAGTGCTTGATGTCAGAGTTTGTTTGATCCTTCAGAGCCTGAGACCCAGGGTCCACTTTAAGCTGGCCTCCATCGCTTCCGTTTAGTGTGATCCCTTCTCTTTAGCTTCCTTCTGCAAAAGAGGGTAATAATGGTGGGGTGAGGTGGAGCAGAGGCTGGGGGTGCCTGGCACCATCCGAGGGAAGGATCTGAGGCCTTTCTTCAAGGGACAAACCCAGTCTGAATACCGCCACTCAGCAGTGGGATCAGGTTTCTTATCACCTCCACGTATGCAGCCTGGTGCTGGGACCAGGTACACTAGCTACCCTTGTCATCTCATTGTCCTCTGGGCTGAGGAACATTAACAGCCACCGCCAGAAACATTTCTAGGTAAGGAGTAGAGGTCAGAGGTGAGGACCTTGAACGCCATGAGGGGATGATGGCTCTCAGCTCAGGAGGAGGCTGAGCCGTCCCGGATGGATGGAGGGTAAGTGCTGGGGAGGGTTGGAAAGTCACTGGGAATGGCTCACTCAGAGGCAGCTTCCAGCGGAGGACAGGCCTGGGGAGCCACTGCAGGTCCCAGAGTGAAGAGTGGGGTTGGCAGAGCCCACGCGCAGAATGGATGTACAGGGCGAAGATGGACCAAGCAGGCAGCTGCTGCCTGGGCCGGGCAAGGCTCCCTAGCCTCGTTGGCTGCACTTTTCTGCACTGGCCTCTCACTTGCCTTTGGGAGTGTCAACAGCTAAGCCCCAGGGCATGTTTGGAGCAGAGCCAGCCTTTGGCTTATTCTGTCTGTAGCCTGGCAGAGCTCCACTAGGACAGTGATTCTCGATCTTCCTAATGACCCGGTACAGTTCCTCATGTGTGGTGATCCCCAAACATAAAATTACTTCCGATGCTACTTCAGAACTGAGTTTTGCTACTGTTTATGAACGGTAATGTCCATCTTTCCAGTGCTTTCCAATGGTCTTAGGTGACCCCTGTGAAAGGTTGAGCTAAGGCAGTTGTCCCTCCACACAGGTGGCTCTGTTGCGGTCCTGCAGCTAGGACACAGAGAACTCTCATCCCCCATACCCTAATATGCAGAGTCCTTGCCAGAAATAGGTTATATGCTGGGACTGCACACGTTACCCTGGTTCCTCTTCCTAGCATCCCTGTAAGTGTTCTTACGTTGTTTGCAGTGTTACAAAAGGGAAACTGAGGCTTAGCATAGCTGAGTGACCACTATCGATAGTTTTGTAGTTGGTGGTGTCCCTTACTCCCGAGACCAGAGGGAGTCCTGAGATGTCCTACGCAGACCTGGGCTCACACCTTAACTTTTGGGTAGGATGGGGAAGGGACTCAGAGAGTCTCTGAGCTCCTGAGGCTGAGGAGCCCTGTCCTATTCCTCCCACCCTCTTCTCTAGCAGAATAGATCCTGCTTTTCTTAAGAAAGTAAGGCTCCGAGAGTTTGAAGGGCTCTCCCAAAGCCACCCAAGTGGTCAGTGGCAGATCTGAAGTGAGAATCTGGGAATAGTGTTGCTCAAGCCAGCATCTCTTCTACCCAGAGCTGTTTCTATCTTTCCCAAGCTTCGGACTCGAAAGATGTAGCATCCAGTTGGGGCCAGAAAGACAGGAGGTCCACAAAATTCCAGCGTCTGAGCTGGATGCCCTCTCTTCTAGGCTGCAGCTTCCACTGGGATGTGGAAGACCTTGGTGTTCAGTGGCAGCCTGTGCTGAAGTCCAGACACCAGCCTGGCCAGCACGTTGGCCACCGGGAAGCCAGCGTCCATGCTTCCTGCTGCCATGCCCCAGGCCTGGAGTGCAAAATCAAGGAGCATGGGATCCCAGGGCCCGCAGAGCAGGTGAAGGGGTTGAGGATGGCTAGGTACCTGGGTCTTGGCGGGTGGCTGCCACCTGTCCTGTGCTGGTGGTGCCCCGTGCTATTATGTGTCGGGGTAGGGGGCGGATGAGCTAGGCAGCTTTTACTGTTGTGTGTGCACGGCAGGCAGGCCTGGTTTTGCTCTGGTCCGGATAAGCACGGCTTGCTGTCCACCCCTGTAACTCTTTGAGGGCCTGCATGGCCGTGGCAAGTCTGGGCCCGAGCACTTTCTAGTCCGGCCATTACCAAACCTGCTGGGAGGCAGCTGGGGCAGGGGCTCTGTCAGGACACAGAGCGATGCAGACATGACGGCTGGGCAAGCAAAGGCTGAGAGGGGTGGGCCCTGGGAAGAGGCCCATAGTGGACCTGTCAGAGTTCTGGGGGACAGTGTGAGGCTGCAAGCTGCTCTGTGAAGGGGAATCTCAGTTGAGAAACTGGCTCCCGGCTGGGTCAGGTCCTAGGAGGTAAGCTGGGCAGTTCCTGCTTGACCCACCAGGAGTGTCCATTCTGGTGGGAGAAGACAGTACACAAAGCAAGTTACAGAGTATCAAGAGGATAATAGGGAGGAAATGGAGCAGGGAAGAGCGGTGGGTTGAGATACCCCTCAGATGGGATGACAGCCCCGGGGGACTGTCACCAGGAACAACGTTTCTGGCACAGGAAACAGCTAAGGCCCAGAGGGGTGACAGTGTGACCCTGGTGACAGGATCATCCCAGCCAGCAGGGCAAGGTGGGACTTCGAAGTCTGGAGACAGGCTAGGTGGGGCTAAAGAACCAGCCAGGCCTTAGGGACTGCCCAGGGAGCTGCAGTCCTGTAAGGCTCTGAGTGAGCTTGGACCTGGGGGCTGACCAGGCGTACAGTTGCTGAACTATGAAGAGTGGCAGGAACTCGAACAGAAACAAGGTCTGCAGGTTGACTCCTGCACTGCTCGGGGGCCAGGAGGTGAGGGCCTAGGCTGGGGTAGGAGCTGGGGGGAGGTGTAGGTGGGTGAGGAGGAGGAACGGGCTCAAGGTTTCTGCTGAGCCTCTGAACAGCCGGAGCTACAGTTAAATGGAATGGAAGGCTGCAGAGGCGCCGACTTAGAGGAAGTGAAGGAGGCCGAGTTAGACGTCTGGTGGGTGCAACCCTGCTTGGTTAGGTCTGAGGCAATGGAGCTTGAACAGCCCACAAGCCGCAGACACAGGCTTTCTTCTTGACTCCGGCAGGTCACCGTGGCCTGTGAGGCAGGCTGGACCCTGACTGGGTGCAATGTCCTCCCTGGGCCATCCCTCACTCTGGGGGCCTACGCTGTGGACAACACGTGTGTGGCAAGAAGCCGTGACTCCGGCACAGCAGGCAGGGCCAGTGAAGAAGCCACGGTAGCCGCTGCCATCTGCTGCCGGAGCCGGCCTTCAGCAAAGGTCTCCTGGGCTCACCAGTGACAGCCTGAGGCAGGGCTGGTGCCTGTGGCTTGGTCATACCTGCCTGGCCCTCCTGTAGCTGGCCAAGGGTGGGGAGACTGCCTAGGAGAACTTGGGTGTCTCGCCCTGGGAACCCATCCTGGTGAATGTGTGGGGAAGGCTCTCCTTCATGGCGGGGCCTGTGCTTGGCATTCTGCTATCAAAGAGGTTAAGCTGTGGTCGACTCCGGCCGGCTGTTTCAGTTTATCAGAATCTGAGGGCACTTGCTGCTAAGGCAAGTTCAGGCCTCAGGCCTGCAGGAAGATGATATCGAGAGAGAGAGAGAGACTAAGTGCCAGACTGGGAAAGTGTGAAAGCTGCTGGGACCCCTCAGAGCCTGCTCACACTGGAGACACCATTTTGGGCTCCCTGGTGAAATGCAGACCAGTCACACACACATCCAGGGCTGAAGATGAAAGCCAGGGGTGATTCCAGCTGTGAGGCCATAGCTGTATCTTCAGGATGTCCTCTGCTGCACCCCAGGCTTTGGCCCTGCTGTGAGCCCCCAGCTAACTTTGTTTACACTGGAGAACCACACAGCACTTACCTCACCTCAACCCACCCCCTCTACTACCCTGCACACTGGAGCAGAGAGGTGAGTGCCTGGTGACGTCATACAGCCAGCGGCGCCGGGACATAAATCCAGAGTGGCTGGCCCTGAAGCCATGCCTCTTGGCAGTACCAGGCTGGGTGCCCTATTTCCGAAGCAAACAAGAAGCCTCCGCAGCTTGTTCCTGGCCCACTCCTCAGAGCACAGTCCTGTCCCATGGCTCCCTTAGCCCCAGTCCCACAGATTGCGAGGAGACTAGGGGTGGCAGAGAGCCGACTATACTCAGTCACACAAGCTGACAAGACCACCACTGTCCATCCCGCCTCTTTTGCCTTCTTACAGTAAGCCTTCCCCACCTGTACTGCTTTTGTAACTTGATATTTATTCTGGGTTTTGTAGAGTTTTTATTATGTAGTGAGTTTTCAGAATAAAAGCAGCTGACGTGACTGCCTGCACCCAAGCGTCTAAGAGGCTGCCTGCTTACCTCGCGGTTATCTGCTCAATGGTGGGGTGCACAGGCCTGTGATGGGAATGCTCTCCTTGTGCCCCTTCTAGGAATGCAGCGGCTGCCTTCTCGTCGCCGCCTGGTACTCTTGTCTTGGGGGCCCTGTCCTCTTCAGAATTCCAGATTCTTTGGGGCTCATGCCTCCCAGCACTCCCTGCTCCCAACACCGGTCATCCTTTCCCCCCCAGTGGCAGGTACTACATACACTCAGCAGTGCTTGTGGACTCCTTCGCTCATGAGTCTGGATGCTCCCACAAGCAGTCTATGCCCGATTTGAAACAAAGCATGCTCTCGTATCTCTTTCCAGTGTGCCATGTGCAAATATCCCACTGACGCAGTGAGGAACCTCCTGTCTCTGTCTTAAGCAAGGTCTACCCCTATATAGTACATGTAACAAATGGATATGCCAAAAAGCTCCAAATGGTTTTCTGGCACATGTGAAAGGCACTATAGCTGACAGATGCTAATGGCCTAAGGCACCAGAACCACTGGCACCTGCTTTCTGCCCAGCGGAGGCCTGCCTGCCCCTCCGAGGCAATGACCATACCCCACATGTGGACAGCTGGCTCCTGCAGACGGGTGGCAGGTAGTCACCAAGAATACACAGGAAGGGGCTGAGAGCCATGAGAACAATGCAGCCCAACAGGGACGACTGACCAGAGCCAGAAACAGCTTCTGGAAGCCGAGGCTACAGGCCCTGAGCCTGAGCCCACTGTTCCTGTCTGAGCTGCACACAGACATCCTGGGGATCAGAGGACACGCAGCCCCCCGACTGCACTGTGGCCCTCCCCTACTCTCAGTGCAGAACACCAGGAAGGAATCAAATGCGTATATGCTGCTCCCCAGCGACCTCAACGGCCCCAGTCTGACATCTGGAGAAAAATGTCTGTGAGACTCCAACTCTACATTTTTGAAAAATTTATTTTATACTCTTAGAAGCTAAGAACTCCACCACACATGAACCAAATTTAGAATCCAGAGCCTTCCCCTAGTTCATCTACTTGCTTTCGAAGTTTTATAAACAAGATTTTGTACACAAGAGGTAGCAGAGGAAAATTCCAGTCTGCTTGTTCCAAGCTCAAAAGCTGCTGTACACACCTTGGTGTTAGCAGGGTGGGGGCGGGGGGTGGCGCAGGCCAGGTGAGTCTGGTGGCTCAGGCTCTGGGCCTTACGGCTAATAGCTGTTGGCAACCAGGAGAGTCCACCTGGGGAACTCCAGGCAAGCTGCCTGTGGGAGGCTCATCTGTCTGTCCCAGGATGCCTTAGAGGCAGGAGAGCAGTCCTGAGGTCAGCCTGGACTGAAGGAGCTTCTTGAGAACACACAGCATTGAGTCAATTGTGCAATTCCTGCTTGATTGCAGACCACTGTAAAAGATTATAAAAACATCTTCATCCAAAAATTGGCAGTAAAAATGACAACTCTTTCAAGGCAGGCCTGTCATAATTGTCACTTTGTAGCATTTAAAAAAGTCCTCAGTATTAGTGGACTGAAGCTGTTGGAAATCAAGTGGTTACTGGTGATGTGGAAGGATGCTCACTGCAGCAACAAGGGAAGAAGATGGACCAAGGTGAACCGTGCCGGTGCTCCTGATGCAGCTTTGCGTGAGGACAGCAGGTGCAGGGGCGGAAGGCGTCGTTTCCATAGGAAATAAGGGGACTGACTAGAAGTGGCAATTTCACTCCTGAATTGGGGCTCCTGAGTACAGCTGCCGGCAATGACATCCCTCTGTGTATCATCGCTGGCATTTCAATGTGTGTCCCACACAATCTTTCTGCAAGCATGGGTGTGGAGAGGTCGTGAATCAGGAAGGGAAACAATGGGCCATGGGTGTTCAGGTATTCAAAATCAATTTTAGACCCTCACATCCAAACACTAGAAGAACACCAGACTCAGATCACCTGCCTGTCTGTTTCCCTGAGGACACAGCTATGCTCTTACATGCTGTCCCTTCCATCTCCGTGAGTTTGACCAAAGCTGGCCTGTTAGATCACAGCCCCCACAAATGAAGCTGGCTGCATGGAGCATCTACGGCTCAATAGTGAGATAAAGGCTCCCTGAAGCACACAGCAGGGAATGCCACCTGCCTGCCACATGTCCTCACAATGCAAAAGCAACCAAAAAGGCACTTTGGGGCTGGCTGTGCCTCTTTGACTTGGCAAATCTAGCTGACAGTGGCGACCTGGTACTTCCAGAGGCTCCCCCATTCCTGTGCATGGCAAGTGGAAAATAAGGCAGAACATGTAACTAAAGTTGAAACAAGGCTGTAACTGAGCAATTCAACATATAAAATGCACAGAACACAGGAAATGGCTGTGTAACCCCAGCCTGAAATAAGTGAGAGCTGCCATGTTGGCAAATGCAACTAAATGGATGGTATCTAATAATCCTCTAGTGATTTCAGAGAAAGTAAGTTTTAAAATCTTGTCTTTCAGTATCAGTCATGTCAAGAAGAAACAAAGTCTTGAATTCTTTCTCTGCAGTAAAATTAAGATGAATCTCACAAAGCAGCAGCTCCCAGCTTGCTTTTTAACTCAATATACAATCAATACAAGGGTCACAGGAATTATGTTTAAGCAAAACAAATGATTGCAGATCACATGACTTAAGACTAGTTTATTCAATATGTCTCCAAGCATTAAAAAGATATTTTTATGAAGTCAAACTCAATAAACTTATAAAGTGCTTTTAATTTTGTTGTTTTAAATTTTATTTTGGGAACAACCCATCATTCTTCAGTGACTGACTTCGGAGAATGCACCCTATTCTTCTAGAGAACATAGCTTTTTGTTTTGTTTTGTTTTAAATTTCTTATTGCTCTTTTCACTCTTGAATCAGAAAATACCTTAAAGAGCTTAATAATGCCACAATTTCTGATACTGGAAGCATGTCATCAAGATCTAAAATTATGCTGAGGTCTCTCACCCAGACAAACCAGAGATTCTGTACAAAGAGGGAGACATATTAAATACAAAGGTCTGTGTAAACTTGATTCAATTACTATTTTACAACAAAAGGAATTCTACCACATCTTTACATCATTCTAAATTGAATATTCCTATTCAATGTTACTGCAGATTAAAAATTTTCCCTCACATAACTAAAAATATAAAAACCAAAGGATTTCCTCTCGGTGTGTCACAGAGAGAGCCATAGCTTTATCCCTTCGCCCTCACTCTATGTTCATGTATCAGACGCTTGCCACCAGCTTTATTTCCTAAAACCATGTGTCAATGCACACGCAGACCCGGGGACAGCTGGTCCACGTGCAGAACCTGCCAACAGCTCCCAGCTGGTTGCTGGCCGGAAGAGTCTCCTCTGGAGCACACGGTCTCGTCACACTCCTGCTCCCACGCAAGGCTCTTCTAAGGCCTTCAAGGATGAGATTCTGGTTTCCAAAAGGTGCTGAGCATCCTATGTGGGCACACGGCTCTAAGGGTCAACATCATCAAGGTCACTTCTTAATTCACCAATCATCATGGGAGATTCCGAACCCTGCAGCACAGAAAGGAAGTTAAGGGTGCTTTCTTTCTTTTATTTTTTTCAAAAATGATTTATTTATTTTTCTTATTTTATGTACATTGGTATTCTGCCTGCTTGTATGAGGGTGTCAGATACCCTAGAACTGGAGTTATATGTCGGGAGCCGCTCCCGCCATTACAAGATGGCGCCGGCTTCCTGCTTCCTGGTTCTTCTTGCCAGCATTTTCGCGCTTCTTGCCTGCGCCGCCCTGCACTTTACGCATGCGCAGCTTTATGCTAATGAGGGTTTAGGCTGCACTCCAATTGCCAGCCATATGCTTATGAAGACTTGAACAGAGCACCAATTACAGACGGACAGGTCGCGCTGCTGGCTATTTAAGCAGAGCACAACCCGGGGTTTGGGTCCTTCACCATCTGCAAGAAAGAGCTGTTCAATAAACTTGCTGCTGAAGAAATCCTCGGTTGTTGCGTCGTCCTTATCGGCAAAGGCCGCGCGCGACAAGTGGTGCCGAAACCCGGGAGCCGCCGAACCTCGGAGTGGAGGATCGCTTCGAAGGACCCCGACTGCTCGTCGAGTAAGGATTCAAAGTCAGTGGCGTGAGAACCGCGGTACTTTTCTGCAAGGTATGATTTCTGTGGTCTTGTTGTGTTGTCTGTGCCTTAGTTGTGGGAAACGGGACCATCAAGACAGTCTATCCGAAGCAGAAAAGGGAATTAAGACCGGTAAATCCCCTAAGGATGGGACCAAGAAAGATAAGGCTAAAGCGCTAAAGGCGCAAAAGCTAGTTAAGAAGTTTAAGAAACCAAAACAGACTGGTAGCAAGAAAAAGAAAAAGGTCGCCTCGTCATCGAGCGAGCCGGAGTCTACAGAGAGCAAAAACAGCTCTTCTGAGAATCAACAAACTGATGAGGAATCAGAGCTCGACCCTGACGAGCAGGCAGAGTTGGATGAGGAAGCAGCTAAATATGAGGAAGGGCGTTACCGCCCGGATCCGCCACCATATGTGGCCTATGCTGGCACTTCTGGGTTCTCCATGCGGAAGTCAGCCACTAAAAAACCCAAAGCTACAGAGACAAAATTTTCCCTGATATCAAAAAAAGAGAGGAAGCGGATTAAAACCGCGTTCCCAATCTGGGAGGACGCTCGGGTAATTAATCAGACCTTATACCCACCTGAAGTATATGAACAAATACCGGTAACAAATCAAAGCTTGGCAGCAGCTGTGCTCTCTGCTCTTATAATCATTAAAGGACCGGATCTTATTTTAATAAGATCCAGGGGAGCTGTGTGTATTTTCCCACAGGACCAAAAAAATCCAATTTGGGTTCCGGCGCAATTGACCCGGGTGGTGAAGCAAGATGAGCCTGACCCTAACTTTGATCCTGATCCTGATGTTGAACGGACTGCTGACGAGCTTAAAAGTGGAGACCCAGGAGATTCCACTAATGACTCTCTGGGACTACCTTATT